TTAAATGTTTTCTAAGTCACTAGGGTATGAGCATATAATAAACTGTACTAGCTGCTCTATGCAATTTCCATGCTTAAATTCTTCCACCCAACTTAGGCAAAATGTTATCTAATGTTTTTGAGCTTTTATGGTACTGTGTACTAATTTTCTCAGATCTAGTTTTGACGTTTAATTAGGTCAGTGTCCTACACAATAAAAACTTTCAATAATTCAGAGGCCAAAGAGTTTTCTGTTTAGCCTAGAAATGCATGATGTTGCTGTTGTGCAGAATAATATTAATAAAAAATAGATAACATCAGATGAAGAGTTACGACTAGTTGTCTTAGTGGTGGAAAGGAACACTAATCATGGAAAATGTTTTAATTGCATTTAAAATGTTATGCTGAGAATAAGCAATTATTAGATTCTGAAAGATAGTTTTGGGGATGAAAGGCAGTTGGGTATTGAGTAGCTGTTGTATCTACTTTGTAAACCAAGTTAAAGAACAATTTTTAGAAGTTATGGGTATATTTTAGTGGTTTTCCAGAATAAGACTTCAGTTTCAGATTTTTTTTCCAAAGTATGGAATTCTATTTTATTTTTGGAATTTATTAGTATGCTATCTTTTTTAATGCTTATATAAATGTCTATACTTTTGAAAATAACGTGGTTATACTACTTTAGCTTGAGAATCCTGAACTTCTTGTTTAGTTATGGGTCTGTTGAGGAACACTAGAAAATGTTCATGTGTAATTACTAACAGTTCAACCGTATTACCTGTTTATAAGATTGAATGCACCTTTAACATAATATTAATGATAACTTAAATGCACAAGGCGGGCATTCTTGATTACTGCAGCTCTCCTAACAAAGCTGCTTTGTGCGTGGCCTAGGTTCAAAATGTACTTTAGTTGCAACTTTGCTTTGTAATTCTTTATAAATTGATAGCAATGTTATATTGTAAACAGTGCAGAAAATAGCTGTAACTATTCACATTCTTGGCTCACATTAGTGAAACATCTTCCAAGTATCTGATTGCTTCTTCTGAGTAAAACAACCTGAATTGAAATACATACTGTGGTTGTTGTCGTCTTAGTTTGTCAGGTAGTTGGTTCACTTTGTTCTTTACAGTGCCATTTAGTTTCCATAGAGGTGCATTCACATTACGAGGCCATCTAATGGCAAGTACCATTGACGTGAGTACAAAAATATTGTACCTAAAACTTTAGTAAAAGTAGCTAATGTACTTGTTCAATAGTTAATTTAAATGTTTCTCTGTTAGCTGTTTTTTTAAAAAAAAATCATGACATTTTGCAGGCAATTATGGTATCTAACTTTAAAATTAAAAAATCATCTTTTTGGGAGGGAACCTCAGCTGGGGAAGTCAGTGTAGTTCCACTGACTAACTACTAGCATACATCAGATGAGCACATATTAAACTGGATCCTTTTTCATTTCTTAGCTACTGTAAACCATAAATCTATTAAAATTGAAACCATCAGTTTATATTTTGTCCAAACCAAATGTCAGCTGATAATTTTGACAGTAGAATTTTTTAGCTCAACTAAATATTGAACCTTTATAACCTTTGTAAAGCATTTTAGAGTCCTTAAGGTTTTATATAAGGCCAAAATATCATAAATCTCTGGAAAATCAGTCTGTATAAAAAAAGCCAACACTTCTTTAGTTCTTAACAGCACATTCTGCATGGTAGCAATATTGACGTGGATTTAAGTTTCAATATAATCAGGATATTTTAAAAATCCTAATTCCATGTTGAACAAATCCACTTCTTCTCTTAACTTCAAATTGTTACATTTTCTAAGCAAACTTAGACTTAGACTTAGACTTCCGAGCTCTAAAGAGGGGCTTGTTTGTTTGTTTTTGTTTATTTGTGCTATAGTAGTGGCAGGAGACATAAATGAGAAGAGTGACTTTAAAGAAAAACACCCTGCTTCATCTATCGTATTCTTCTGAGAGAAATAGGACGTTTCATAGGAAAGATTTCAGTTTTGTTCTTGAATGCTGCATGGTTTCCTTGCTGGAATGACAATGAGACACGAAGAACAAGAATAGTGTTGAGAGAGAGTGCTCTTGAATGGGCTGAATTCTGATCTCCTTTGTTTTTTCTCAGTTGTTACTAAGGCAAAATCCCATTTGACCTTAATGAAAACTTGCCTGGGTAAGACCTCAAGGTTTGATCCTGCAAATTTCAAAATTGTAGTAGTTGCTCAGACTACACTGTAGTGTTTTGGGAGTTTTGGTTTGGTTTATCTGCCAAAATCTGACACAATTTTTCCCAATAATTGGCTGCAGGGCCGTCCTTAGGCATACACGGCTGCGTAGGGCACCTGAAAATTTGGGGCACCACTGAGTCTTAGGCTATGGCTACACTGGCGCTTTATAGCGCTGCAACTTTCTCACTCGGGTGTGAAAAAACACCCCCTGAGCTCAGCAAGTTATAGCGCTGTAACGCGCCAGTGTAAACAGTGCCCCAGCACTGGGAGGTGCACTCCCAGTGCTGTAAGCTAATCACCTTGTGGAGGTGGAGTACCTGCAGCGCTGGGAGACCAGACTCGCACTTCAAAGCACTGCCGCGGGAGCGCTCCCGTGGCAGCGCTTTGAAGTTTTGAGTGTAGCCACAGCCGTAGTGTCCATCCTCCCAGCTCTTCCTTTCCCTGTTCTGACACTTCCTGCAGGCTCCCACAGCAGCCTGGTGACTTTGGGTAGGTCTATACTTACCTCTGGGTCCGGCAGTAAGCAATCGATCTTCTGGGATCGATTTATCGCATCTAGACAAGACAAATCGATCCCGGAAGTGCTCGCTGTCGACGCCAGTATTCCTGCTTGGCGAGAGGAGTACGCGGCATCGACAGGGGAGCCTGCCTGCCGCGTCTGGACCCGCGGTAAGTTCAAACTAAGGTACTTCAACTTCAGCTACGTTATTGACGCTGAAGTTGCGTATCTTAGTTTGAAATGGGGGGTTAGTGTGGACCAGGCCTCTTACTCCGGAGGGGATCTAGTAACTTAAAAGTGAAAAAGCCTTCCAGACCTATTAGCACAACACTGAAACTGTTAAAGAGCCACTCAAGTGGTAATGAAGCCATTTAACAGGCATTTGCCAACCCCCAGATATATACTGTCAGTTTCTGAATTTACTGACAAAAACAGTTGTGCATTACTATAATATTTATTCAGAACATGTTAGTCTACAGGACCTTAGTTAAAAATTTGCTTTAAAAATATTTCATTAGTGAATTGGTGAAGATTATAAAATCACATCTCTAAAAAATCCTTGCATAGATTTTTTTTGATGCACAATCATCTTTAGCCTTAAATGCTTGGCTCTTCAGACATGCAGTTTTTTAAATATGTCCTTCAAAAGACCACCCTTATCTAAAATACACATTTTAATTTTAATTATTATAGTAAAAAAAAACTTGCTTCCAAAGTCTTCCTGTCCTTTCTGTCCATCCTTTTCTCCCATTGAAGAGAGCCCTTAAAGGGACAACACCCCTTTCCTTCCAAATAGCTGGACAAAGAGTTTCCCTTTCTTTATTTCTGACTACGTGATGAACTAGTTTTAAGATAATCCTCCTGAAAAATCAGTACCTAGTAAGCTATAAAATCCTCTGTTATGCCTAAAATCTTTGAAAACATATTTTTTAAAGTTGGTGAAATTTCATAAACATGTCTCTTGTTATGGCGATCACACAAAGTAAATTAGTGTTCTCTTTTTCTAAAAGCAATGAACGTTGTTATGAACACATTACCTCTCTGACTGATTAATTTAAAATAATGTCTTTGTTTCAGTGAGTTAAATATGTAGTAATCTGGAATGATTTATGAAGGCTTAAGAATACATTTAAAATATAAAATCAGCTTAGAAATACTGATTAAGAAAATGTAAAATAGAAAAGAGCTGCATCATGTATTCCATAATATTTAATGTTGTATTCAGCAAGACAGCTGACTCGTCCTTACTACAAAGTTTTTGCAAATAAATCTCTGACAAACTTCAGGGCATATCAAAAAAATCTGTGACTGACATTTTTTATTCCCAAGTTTAGTGCTTTTAATGAGGTACCTTCTGCATGTCCAGTCTTCACCATCTGGTATGCAGTGGAAAACATGCTTCATTTTCTTTAGAAAGAAATAAATTGTAGAAGTATTGTTTTTCAAATGTCATTTGCTTCATTTGGGTTCAGGAATTTGGCTGGAAGGGGGTGAGCAAGGTGGGGAAGGGAAGAGAGGAGGGAGACAGTGGGGAGAGGGCGGAGCCTGGGTGGAGTGGGGTGGGGTCTGGGACAGAGCAGGAGTGGAGTATGGGTGGGGCCACAGGCAGAAGAGGTGGGCTGGGGAGGTAGCATCCCCAAGTGGGAGCTTCACCCACTGCCCATGACAGCAGGTAAGAGCGGGTGGGCTCCTGCACACCTAGTGTGCACTGCAGTCTCCTTAGGCAGGGGCCGTATTCACAGAGCCGAATGCACAAGCGCCGCACATTCTGCGGGAGGGAGAGGGTACGGGGGTCTCGGCGGAGAACTGTGACTCTCCACTGCCATGAGGCAGGCCGGGCATCTTGGTATCCTTTGCTGCCTTGTCCACCCCCCACCCTGGGTTGCAAGCCCGGGCTACCATCGGGCATAGGGGCACCAATTTAATAATACTGCGTAGGCACCCATAAATCCTAAGGACGGCCCTGATTGGCTGAGACATAGCCCAATATCCAAATTTTTGGTTTTAGATATTGAGAGAGGATTTTTTTTTCTTCTGACTTTGTGTAGAACATTCTATGTTCATTACCAGCACCAGTTTCTATAATGTAATAGTAGTAAACTTAATGCTTGCTTTGTGATAAGGTAACCTTGTTACAAACAAAGGTAAAGAGTTTTTAATGTGTATTTGTAGGTTTCTGGTATTCAGAGAAACTTCCTATGCATAAATGTGTTCAGAATTCAGGCTCTTATGGAAAGAACTATATTTAGACTGAATGTTATCTTTTTTCCCCTCAAATTGTGCAGAATGGAAGCTTCCTGTCTGGAGCTGGCCTTGGAAGGCGAGCGATTGTGTAAAGCAGGAGATTGTCGAGCTGGCGTGTCTTTCTTTGAAGCTGCAGTTCAGGTTGGAACAGAAGATCTAAAAACACTTAGTGCTATTTACAGTCAGCTAGGCAATGCTTATTTCTACCTGCATGAATATGCAAAAGCCCTGGAATACCATCACCATGATTTAACGCTAGCAAGGTAATTTTGTATTCTTTTAGGTACATCCTCAATCTCAGTTCTGTTCTTGTGAAGATGAGCAATGGTTTGTTCAGTGAAACATTCATCGTTAATGCTTGTTAGAGACATTGATGTGCTAGTGGTGGGAGATTGGGTGGTTTTTAGTATTCTGGCAAATAATTTGGCTATCCCTTTACTGGGGAGATCTAGGGTTGCCAGATTTGTGGATACATAGATAGCTTCCTCTTTAAATCTATCAGTTCTTCACCCTTTCCTGTTTCTAAAGCTAATGCTCCCTGGCTCCCCAAAAATTAAGCTGCCATTAATGTTTACTAGACATAACTCACTAGTATATTTCTCTTTAAAACTAATAATGTGATGTTGTGATTAAAATATACAAAGTATGTGCATTTCATGTGGTGTTTCTACAGCTATCTTTTAAAGATTTAAGGTTTTCATTACATACATTTGATTCTTTTTTCCAAGCCCTTCTAGTTTTCAGACTTTCATGTTTAAATTTTAAGTTTTCAGCAGTGTAATCTAAAGAAGCTATTCCTATACAACAGCGAGAAAAAAATTATACCTCAAGTGCAGGAGGTCTGGATAATTATGTTTGACTGTTTAATTGGAAATTTTTCCTCTCTCATGAAGACAAATGTTCTAGTAGAGCTTAATTTAGGTTCTGGGGAAGGTGTGAACATAGTGCTATTGCACTAACTATTCATTGCCAACTTTGCATAGTAAAGGTATCTAGAATTGACACATTAATTTGTATTGATTTCATCCTTGTCCCCCCCAAGACAAATTACAGCAGTCAACAGTTGTAGATTCAAGCCAGAGATTTCAGATTTCCAGAAGAAAAATAGCTTCTTGCATTGACTTTTTTTCTCTTCCTTTGGAGTACTATCACAATTAGCTTCCAGGGGCTGGGTTTTTTGGTGTAACATACCATTAAGTAAGCTGCCATATGCAACTGGTTCCCCCCAGGGTGCCAACAGGAACCAGGGTACCACTGTGCCCCCCTGGCCCACAAGCCTGGGCTCCCTTTTACACTGTACTGCTGTGATAAGCTGCAAAGCCCTCTCTAGCCTGCACTTTCACCAGCATACATACACGAAGGAGCACATCCAGCTGCAGTTACATGCAGGCAGGCTCTCTGACCATCCCCTGCATGGGGAGGCTCCAGCTAGGGTACCTACCAGCTCCTCAGGCAGACACCTCCTCTAGAGTGTAAACCCAAAATTATTCTGTTTTGCGCTGCACAGGGAGCTGTACAGCGTAAGCTCATAAAATTCACCCCCTCCCACAGTGTGGAGAGGAATATGCAACAGCCTTTCTCCCCGAGTTATGATTCTCACACCCTGGATTAAATAAAGTAAAAACAAATTTATAACTACAGAAGAGAGATTTTAAGTGATTATAAGGGATAGTAAATAGATGAAAACAGAATACCTAGCAAATAAACAAAATACGCAAAATAAGCTTAATATACTAAATAGATGGGATATGAATAGCAGATTCTTAACCTATGTGATGATACAAGCAGGCTGCAGATTCTTAAGAGGCAAGCTGCACTTTCTTACAGCTTGGAATCCCTAGGTGTTCCATTCACAGGCTAAAAATCTCTTTAGCCTAGGTCCAGCATTTCTGCAAGTTTAGTCTTTGTTTCTCAGGTGTTTCCAGGAGTCGTCTTGGGTGGGGAGTCAGTGAAGAACCTCCATGATGTCACTCCCCTGCCTTATATAGGTTTTAGATATGGTGGGAGCCCTTTATTTCAATGCTTTGTTCCCATGCCAAGATGGAGTCCAGCACCAGGTGATCCGGTCACATGTTCCTGTAGAGTCCCAGCAGCCATCCCCCACTGTCTGTTTAGAGGGTTCACAGGACGGCTCACCAGGTGGGAGATAAGCTTCTCCTAAATCCTATTGTTTCTTCCTAATGGCTCATTAACCTGAATGGGCCTTTCCCAGCCAGCCATCTAGACTGAGCGCATTTTGCCTAGTGGGCGTTGCCCAGGAATTGCTACATATGAAATAGATACATAGTCAATATTCATAACTTTGGATACAAAAATGATACATGCATACAAATAGGATAATGATATTCAGCAAACCATAACCTTTCTTTCCAATGATACCACACATGCCTTATCTTGCATAAAATACATCATAATTATGCTATAATTATATCCTATTAATATCACTATGAAGAATATGGGGTGCAGTGTCACACTATATACAAAGGTAGTCAATAGCAGTTCTAATAAAATTAAAATAAATGTCCCCCACAGTTTCTAATAAGCTGAATTCTACAATTGAACTCTGTGTATGTGCATATAATTTATTTATAAAAGTAAAATAAACATATAACCTCATAAATTGCGAACAAAATGTGCACTTTATACTAGTGTAGATCTTATGAAGAGACATATCTTCCATATAATTCTGTTTACAGTTCATTGAACATATACCTATTGCAAATGTACAGGATTTACTGGATTGTTGTCTTCTTTTAATTTCAGGACCATTGGAGACCAACTAGGTGAAGCTAAAGCTAGTGGTAATTTGGGAAACACCTTAAAGGTGCTTGGGAATTTTGAAGATGCTATTGTTTGCTGTCAAAGGCACCTAGATATTTCCAGAGAGCTTAATGACAAGGTAAGAATGGTGAACATTCAGTTACTGTCAATCTGGCTGTAATTTTATAGAACAATAATTATAGAAGTACTAACACATACTGATGAGCCTTTGTATAGTGGTCTTGAGTGGCTTGTCACATAACCACTTACATTATGAAGATACCTGCAAGTTTGAGTGTCCCTACTTACGAAATATTACAGGTGGAAGCACCAGAGGCACAGGCACAATTGCTTTGTTGGGATGCTCTGGGGGTGTAACTCTCCAAAATGATCACAGCTCCCCATTAATAGTCAAGAAACTTGCTTTCTCTGGCTGATGGTTCTAACAACACTGCTCTACAGCCAAAATGCTTCTGAAATAAATGTAGTCAAACTTTACTAATTCTGGGTCACTGAGAATGAAAATGATGCTTAAAATTGTTGATTGGCTCTAGTTTTCAAGATATGCTATTGGGTCAGTATATTCGACCCTTGGCTTGGGAATGGCGGAGGATAAGTGAGTTATAAAGGGAAGGGATCTCAATTTAAACCAGAAATGACTAAAATACATCTTTGACTGGATCTATGAATAAATCTATGACTGGGTTTGGACAGTACTTGCTTTTTAGGCAAAACAA